ACAATAGGTTCCTCGCACTTCGTGCTAGGACGCCGTTGGGTCCTAGCGCTCCGTGCTCGGGCCCTAATGATAATAATAATAATAATAATTCCACCAATAACAATAGGTTTCCTCGCACTTCGTGCTAGGACGCCGTTGGGTCCTCGCACATCGTGCTCGGGCCCTAATAATTCCACCAATAACAATAGGTTTCTTCGCACTTCGTGCTAGGACGCCGTTGGGTCCTAGCACATTGTGCTCGGGCCCTAATAATACCACCAATAACAATAGGTTCCTCGCACTTCGTGCTAGGACACCGTTGGGTCCTAGCGCTCCGTGCTCTGGCCCTAATAATAATAATAATAATTCCACCAATAACAATAGGTTTCCTCGCACTTCGTGCTAGGACGCCGTTGGGTCCTAGCACATCGTGCTCGGGCCCTAATAATAATAATCATTCATCAGTATGAATAAAAGTTGCTCCAGAGGTGAAAATGATATGAGGCATCTACACTGTAGTGTCACAGAGGTATCAGCCCATTACTGTCGACTTCATGATGAACAGACCACTAGTGAGGTCAGGGGATTATCCCCTAAACACTTCTAAATGCTAAATAATTCAAATGAATAGACACAATATGTATTGCATGAAGGAGCATTGGATGAATGTGGCACACACTCACTCTGAGTTTTTAAAGTACACGGTGCCTCTCACTGGGTGCTCCAGCAGCTGGTGCTCAGGGAAACGCTTCTGGTAGAGCGCCACCTGGAGGTTATTGTGCTTTTTTCCCAGGAGACTTTGGAGGTGTCTATACACAGTTTTAGGGGTCTTCACAGACTGAAATGTAGCAATATATTAGCATTAATAGCAAGCAAGTAAAAAGACATATGATTCTGAGATCATTTCATTTACTTAACTATGCACTGTTATTGCAAGTGTGATTCAGCAGAGGAAGCTGATATTTTTATCAAACTCAATTCAGGACATTTGAGAAGAAGTCGTACCACTCCTAGTGCACTGTCTCCCAAAAGTCTTTCATTTTCCTTCAGACATACAGCAATGGGGGTTTTCCTCCGCGACTCCCTGAAGAAAAGCACAACAGAGAAAATATTTAACACTTTGATATAATTTCCTGATGGATTTGTTTCACTCTCTCTTGTATTCTGATCATCTCTGGGAACAACCATTTAAATTGCACCAGTGCAAGGAAAACATATGAGGGAAAGAAAGGGGGGCTACCTTTTTTAAGTATTGTCAGTTTTGGAACACAGACACACTTTAGTTTTCCTCCATACATTACACACACATGGGTACTGAACAATCACACGTATGTGATGACAACTGACCAGCTGTCAGGTAACAGCCTTTATGCAGAGTGTGTGTCTGCTGTTACAGTTATCCTCAGAGCAGCAAACTAATTATATTATCCAGGACATGATTATTGTTTTTTTTGGAAACTATTTATAAAAAAGGCATAATGTTTCAGATAAAATTCAAACTTTACAATTCATACCCGACGCTGTGGAATTATCTGATTCACATGTGACTGACTAGAGATGAAGATAAATAAATAAATGTTGTTAGGGTTTCTTGCTGACAAACTCTCCAACTCTGAGTTTATTTATATACATTATTAAAGTTAACGGGAGAAACAGCAGAAGTAAATAACATAATTTCTTACTTTATTTTTTACTTTTAACTTCATGATTAGTCAGAACAGAAATGCAGTTAACAACTTTGAGGTGACTTTAATCTGCTATCTGTCTTCACTGGGGTTTGAAACTGCAGTGATGTTGAAATGTTTCCTATCAGTAACTGAAGGGCGAGGGGGCGGGTCAGCCGGTAAAATACTTCCGTGAAGAACACTCAAGTCTCAAGGCAGAAATAAAAGCTCTAAGACCGTCTCAAAGATAGCGCATCAGAATGAAGTCCGAATCAACAGAGGATCAAGGAGCCAGATACTGTCCAATAACAGTCTTGGCATGCACCCTGTGAATTTGGAAATAGAAAACTTTGTGTGGGAAAGCAAAGTATTTACTCGTTCTGTACCAGGTTCATAAAAACACTCACTTGTTGAGGACAATCTCCATCGGCACACCAGGTTTCACTATCGCAACTTTCATCCACTCACTGCCCAGGTCCACCGACATGACAGCAACTGTCCCTGCAACACAAAGACATGTGTAACATAACGCTGGCACACCACAGACTCTGAGGGACACATTGTTTAGCCAAGTTATCTATATTTCTAAATAATTCACAATTATAGTTGTAATCAGTGTTGGAAAATGAGTCAGTTTGTCCAGACCAGTTCAGCCTCTAACAGCACTGCTCACACTACGAGGAGGACTTCATGTCAGAGTAAGATTTCCGCGTATGTTGATGGATCATGTTACCTGCTCCAGAAGGCAACATTGCCAGAACAAGGCAGACGAGAACAACCAGTGGCAGCTTCCTCCCTCCCATGGTGAGCTGGAAAGATGTACAAATTAACTTTTTTTAATTTACATTTTCATCTTAATGAATATTCATTACAGGTCTTTACTCATCTAACCTTGACTATATTTACAGAATATGTTAAAAGCTCATCACACACCAACACCTGTATTCCCCTGATCCTCTGTGTCTATGCCCATGCAGGCACGGATGTCCGTACAGTCACTTTTCATTCGCTGTGGTTGCACTTTCATTAATCATGTGGAAGCCGGTGCTAACCTCACATAGGTAATAATAATAATAATAATAATAATAATAATAATAATAATAATAATAATAATAATAATAAGATGATGATGACCTACTAGAAAAGCCAAACCTGTGAAGGTAGAAACTGGATTAATGACACTCTGATCATGTTCACTGCTAATGTTTCCTCATGGTTCTTTGGTGCTAATTTGGCTGTGACTCAGGTCCAGCTGGATCAGTGAGACACTGCCACTGGTCTCTGCCCAAGGCGATGCAAAGCAGTTCATGACCTGATCACACAGCTGTGGACACTTCCAAACACGTGGTATTAATATTGTTACTAAAGCTTTAATAATTACAAGTTTGGGTTTCGTTTTTAATCAAACAAATGCATGCCGATGCAGAGCTTCAGATTGAGATAGAGCAGAAGAACAACCAGACGCAGTGACGCATGCATACACAACTCAAACCCTCATTATTACTATTACTAAGTCAAAAAATAAAGAAAAACGTCTGGTCTTTTAGATGGTCATCATCTGGATACAAGGGCTAGTTGTAGGAAAAGTCGCAGATGTAGACTAGCTTAAGGGCCAAATTGGACACAACTGTTTAACCTTTCCTCGTTAACCTGAGGTGCTGTGGAGAAGATAACCAGCTTTAACACGAGTTGACAGCTACACATAGCTAGCTAACTGTCTGGCCCCATCAGTAAAAAGCATGATGGACTCACTCTGTTCCCGAGCTCACCTTCTCTCTGCCGGCACTGATGCGGGGGCTCTCCGGGGGGTTCTGGGATCAGTGTTCCTGGTCTAGCCTTGATTCAGTGCGTCTTTGTTGCCACACTTGACCGTTTTTAGTTCCCCTTATCACCGGCTCATTCTCAGCAGTCGGGCCCGGAACGCGGCGTCACCTCATTGGATCCACCGAAGCCGCTGCTGCTGCCGGAACAACTACCATCAGGCTAACATCAATCGAACACAGTTTCCGTTCAGGCTTCCAGCGTAAAACAGCCAGCAGACTCACATACGGATATACAGTCTATGGTTGTTGCACATGACTCCGAAAGCTATTTTTCAATGGTTACGTTTCTGAAACTTTAATTCAGATTTAAATGGGGATCTTTGGAACTACGTGGTTAAAAACACAAACAAATACTATAGATGTCACTCCATCTGAATTAATAATTGCATTCCTAAATATAAGGTTATCTAAACTGGAGGAATGCGTACAGTGCAGTAGTTGCCTGTGTCCTACATGATATTTCACTATTACAGCGCAACTGCAGCGCGCTCACGAGTGTTTGATTTGTTGTGCTATCTCGAAATATATGTGCTCTTATTTTGAAAGGAAGACCCTTTTGCCTCCGGTTAATTTGCTCCGACTGTCTTGACTTGATGCCTGGTGCAGCAAACGGCTGTGACCCTCCACTCCAGGACACGCCCACCATGCTCCACGCACTTCTCTGTGATTGGTCCACGTGAGGTCAGTGACGTCGAAAAACTTCTGGCTACGGTCAATTGGTCCACGTCCAGATAGTGGGCGTATATCGAATGACGGCAGTTCCAGGTACATTTGGAAGAAACCACATGCCCCTTTCAAATGATTGAATAAAGTCATTGTTTAATTAGTTTAATTAAAGGGAACTGATGGTAACTTTCAAAAATGTTGTCATGTTGCTTACTTTTAACAATATTTCAGCAACGACAGATGAGAACTTTGTGAAAAGAAATATATTTACTTTGTAAAAGCTGTAGAGGGAAACAATATTTAAAAAGTAAATCAACATATTTGCAGTAAAATGATGTACATTTAAACAGGATGGAAAGATCTATACTAAATATATTTTTGCAAAGATCATGAAAGGCCTTACCGAGTGCACCTACAATTGTAAACCTGAAAATCTTTTGAAAAACAGAGATCTATCAGCAAAAGAGAGGAAAATGCTATATATTTGCAACAAGAAACGATAGACCGCACAGGGGGGGGTCCTCTGGGTTGGAGCGCCCAATGAGAGTTGGGACCTTGGGTTCATGGCACCCATGCATTTGGCAAAGCCTTTTATTAAATCATTACAAGATTATAGAAACACGGTTATGTCTCTGTGCCAGTGAACTATTCACTTTGGCAAAAAAGGGAAAAGCAGAAGTAGCTGCACGTTAAACTCGAAATACAGCAATGATTTGTGGTACACAGATTCATACTTTTCAAACTCGGTTTCTGACAGAGGAACACTTTGTCATGATAAAGATCACACTTTGACTGCTGCATGAACAAATATACTTCATATTTACTTTATTCACAATTGTGTAACACAAATTAGAGTGAGAGCCATCAAATAATTTCATTAATAACATACGATTTGATTTGTTAAGCGTTATGTGCAAGATTAGTTGTTAGTACAATCCAACACATCAAAGCAAAATTCTCCAAGGTGTAATTCAGCAAGGGTTTACGCACGCACAGTTGTACATATTTTAAACTAAAGAATATTTATACAGCCCCCAGTGAATCCGGACTAGGAACACAGTTATGCAAATATGTCCATCACAGGTTCCCAAAGCAGGCAGGTGCTCAGGCAGCATCAGACCATCATCACAGGCTTCTAGCTGTTTCTCTTCGTCTGGATGAGAAGGTCTCTCTGCAGGTTGACTTCCAGACTTCCGACAGTTTTGCTGCCAGGTGGGTCGGTGACCAGAGTCAGTTTGTTAAACACACCTCGACCAAAATAGTCAGCCACGACAGAGAAACCATCATTAGAGCTGCGTAACTGAAATCAAAGGAAAAGACAAAATAAGTGCATTGCATTGTGGTCCAATGCTGAAATGAGAGATGATCCAATCAATCTGCCAACCGCTCATCAGTGTCACATATGATTTGATGCCACGTGTGTTAATGATAAAAGCAAAGGCTAATTGCCGAGTCAGACTTTTAAAAGTATGCTAATAAACCTGCAACTGGTGCATTTCTAGCTTTAAACTAATCAAAGTATGACCTACTGAGTAAATTAGGTTTTTACATTTTGAGAATCATGAGGAATTAAAGGAGTCATACAAAATCAAACGAAGGGAATTACTATATTTTCGAATTCTCAAAAACAATAACTATCTATTTAATGATTGAACGTACAACTTGTATTGTTGCTGTTTGAAGCTGAGGTTGCGTACCTGTTTGTTGAAGTGCTCGTGCAATTCGCGTTTCTGGTCCTGGGCCCGCAGCATGTCCATGACTTTGCGGTTCTCAGGAGTGCATGTCGGGCACTCGGCCTCACTCTCAGCGTAGCTTTCGAAGCAGTGTTGGTGGAAGGAGTGGCTGCACAGGAAGTGGACAGACGGCAGCTCCAGTGGGCTGTTGCACATATTACATTTGGTCTTCTGGAATATCTTAGCACTGTGTAGAAATATAGGGGTAAAGATTTAAAGTCATATTGGGGTTACAGGGTGACCCTAGGTCACACAAGAACAAGTTGTTTGCCAGCCCCTCATCACCCCTGCCACCAGCTGTGCCCCCACACCGACTTGAAGAATATCATAATTTAGTGTAAGGGTTGGGTCAGGGTTGTTCATGGAAAATACATCCTTTATGTGCCCTACCTGGTTTTGAGTTCCTCGATCTCGGAGCGAAGGTGACCCGTTTCCTCGCGGTATTTGTGAATTTTACGCTCGTCCTCCTCTATCTGCTGGCTTTCCCTCTGCAGCTTATTGATGAGGTAGTCCTTGATGACGGAGAGAGTAGCTGTCGAGTTGTGTGCCAGGGTTTGCACCACTAAAGAAGCATAGAAATCATGGATGTAATGCTCTGTGATCAACATCCAAACCAGCGTGTAATAAAAATGTCAGCTCACCAAGTAATGGGGGCATCAAGTTGTTTTGGTCAATGTGATGAAGGACTTCACTGATGTAGGCCTTGCAGTCTTCTTCTTTTCTGGCAAAATATCCCAACGCCTGCTCCCAAAGGCAGCCCTCTTGCTCCCCATAGCGCTTACAAGCCTCTACCACTTTTCCATACTCCTCATTCTGCATGTGGTAGTGCATAATTTGCTGGTACCTGCAAGCAATTACAAATCATGTCCTATCTATCCACAGCCATGGCACTTAACATCCCTCTGGCCAGGGGGTGGAGACAGAATACAGAAATTTAACCAGAGAGAAGATTTTTGGATCAGTTGAGGGGATGCTTTGAAGTATCTGGGGCATTTTCTAAAACTGTGCCTAGTATTCACATGAAAAGGTAGCGTACTGATACACCCTGTCAGTGAAACACCCCTTTGTAATATGTATACTGACTGCATGAAGATGATCATAGAAAACGCAGGCAGAACGGCTAATCAAATTAATTACACACAACGATACATTTTAGTTCTTGATGGGGAGGTGGAGACAAGTATATTGTTTGGTCTAGTCTACACCAACAAAATTGGATGACTAAATACCAGAGGTGGGACCAAGTCATTGTTTTGCAAGTCCGAGTCAAGTCTCATGTCTTTGCGCTCAAGTCCATGTCAAGTCTCAAGTCAGGATGGGCAAGTTCAAGTCAAGTCTAAGTCCTAAACTTTAAAAAAAAAAAAAAAAGAGTCTTAAACAAGTCATTGTGTGCTTTTCACCAAATGTAATGACATCGATCAACAGAATAATACTTAATAATCAAACTGCTCTTTATTAGTCACATTAATAATTTAATAATCCATTTTCTCTCTGCTTGTAAAGTAACGTGTTATCTTCTATTTTAAGAGGGATAAGTACCGTGACGGTTTGATTCAGAAGGAGTTTAATGTATAAGATCCCTGATGTTGAGGTAACCAGAATGTTTATTTCCACTTTGCACAACATGTTATAAGGGACTCACAAAATATCTTTATGCAAGGGATAATGTGCAGCGAGGCGGTCTCTATGGGGAAAAGAACACCTGAATCTAGATCCCTCTACAGGTGGTACTTTAACTATATTTTGATGCTAATACTTTTGTACTTTTAATTGTAACATTTTGAAAGCAGGACTTTTTATTGTAACCGAGTATTCCTACACTCTGGTACTTTTACTCAAGTACAAGACCTGAACTTCTCCCACCCCTGACAATAAATCCTGAGTGGTTACCAAAAAAACCTGCTCTGAAGGTTATTTTCATTTTACAAATCCTGCACTCAGTTTGCTTTCTCCAATATAATTGAAATGCAGCCAGATGCTGCTTCTTTTTTCGCTTTTCGCTAATTTCTTGACTTTTTCCGACGCGCTTGCATTTAAATCCGGCTCCCGTCGCTCTGTGCAGCTGGCCTGTACCACTACACCTGCTGTGCCCCCCACCCTTCTTTCACATAATGGTATGATCCTAGTGTGTCCTCGCATATGATTGGCCGCAT